TCTTCTTCTTCTTCTTCTTCTTGTTCTTCTCCTTCTTCTTCTTCTCCTTCTTCTTCTTCTTCTTCTTCTTCTCCTTCTTCTTCTTCTTCTAGATTTTCAGTTTATTATGGGATGAAGGAAACTGAATGACATTTCTGTGGCAATGAATCTTTTCAAGGGTTTTTGTATAAAAAAAGCTGGGAAATACCAAAATTAATATTTTATCCGTTTCTTATTTACTAAACAGAATAATGGTTCAGCTATTTCACTTATTATGATCGACAAATGCAAAATTCATATGGTAAACAAAGTTTGTGTTTTTATTGCTTAAGAATATTCTTTCAACGTGTTAGAACGTTTTATACGAATGATATACGACTTGGACTTTCACTATAAATTGTTCAGAAGTAGACGGCAAAATTCCCTTTTTTTGAAAGAATAAATGTTATATTGAAAACTCAAATGCAGCGGACCGGCAAAACATAGTTTTTATCGTCGCTAATGAAGTTTCTCCTTTTTCAGTTCAATCTCGCCTCATTTACGGAAAAAATTGCGATCATACGAAGAGATGAACTTTTATCTCCCTCATACAGATCTCCCTCAGTAATTTGTGCGCGTGTGAAAATAATTACCGCCAAAGATTCTTGATATGTCTCGGTAGAACAACAGACACTTGCGTTGTACGCTAACGGCTATTTGTTGCATGTGCGCGATACTGGCTCTCGTTTAGTGAAATAATTTTCTTCGTTAACAGAGTTTAACGTTTACTTGCAAAGCAACGAGTTCCATCGGACACTAAATAATCACCTGTCATCAACTGAAGTGACTTCATTTCCTAGTTCGAAGACACGTTTCACTTATTGGAATAAAACTGTTAATAATGCAGAATAATAACCTGCCAATAAACCATTTAGAAAATAATTTGTAAAACATTATTATTACATGCAAGGTTATTTTCAATTTCATTTCATTTTCATTACATGCTTTTTTTCAATGTTTATTTGGCAAAAAATATTATTGTCAAATAGCTGCTTCACAAAAGGCTCAAATACTGTGCGTGTTCAGCAAAACATTTGCATTGAAATACGTTTATGATCCTAATATATTTCAAAACCCACAATTCTGTAATTTAATTTTAATTGAAGGCATATGGTTAACCTCACTGGAGTTATAGCAGACATTATTGGTTTAAACATATTTAATGATAAATGTATAACTTACAACCATGTTTTTTACAAGTTAAATTTGACACATCTTAGTAAATGTGTAACATTGTTATGCCACAGTCATTAATTAATGCACTTACCATATACCATAATGCCATATATTTCTGCATTATTGTACCGTACTCTTTTTTGTATCATACCACTAATTCCTTCAGTTGGGAGATGAATTCATTTTTATTAGAACGACGTGAATAGATCAGAGATGTATATGAAAACAATCTAATGCTCATGATTCTCAATAAGTACTATTCAATCTCCAGTCACGTCGTAAGTAAGTGGTTGTGGTTTTGACAAGCAGGTTCAGCCAGACTGTCTGCCGAGGTGAAAAGGGTGGACTTAGAATAACTACACACTCCAGCTTGTAAACACGACAAAGGCTGCAGTGACACCTGAAGAGTCGAGAGATGTTTGCTGTTTGCCCAACTCGAGGGCTCTAGAAACGGAGATCTGTTTGCTTGGGCATTTGCCTCTTTTGTGCTCTTTTGAGTGCCGTGTAGGACAGTAGGTTGCCCGAAGCTGTGTTTCGTGCTTCAGTTGGGTTTCTAACGGTCACTAGCTATGAACTTATATAAAATGTTTGCGAATTGTTGATCGCTAATTTTTGCAAACATTTCCGTATTTTTCTTATTTTATTTAAATCGTTGATCATGATTCCATTTATTTAACAACAGTCCTGGAATAAATAGTAGTGTTACTGACATGAAAACAGCCTTACGAAGGATTAATGGAAGACAATTCAAAACCCAAACGAGTTTTTTTGTCTAACATTTCCTTAGAACGTCGTTTCAAAAGAGAATTACCATTGTTGTTGATGAAAATGTTAAAAACATAAACATGTACAATTGTTAACAAATTTAAACAAAATTGTTTCGGGGGCACTTTTCAACTTACGGTTTCTGAAGCTACAAAAAATATTCAAACTTTGTATGAATTTGTAAATGTTGCATAAGGTCAAACAAATAGCAGTGAAATGACCATAAACCGATATATTTAAACCGACTTTTTTTCGTTATTACTCTTATTAAAGGCTGATATTTTTATACCAACAAGACTACTATATATTCCATGACGTTGGTAAATGAAAAAAATCACAAATATTAATTTTTCTTGCAAATATCTTGAGATTTGATATCACTGCAGAAGTGATCTCTTTAAGAAGTATACACAGGGATTTGCAATTCATATTTTCTTAATAAAGCATCCATTAAATTCCTTTTTTCAAGAAATTTGAAATTGAACGTATTGAGCCATTTCTAGGTATATGAAATGTACTGCAATTTCTGTACATCCAAGTTATATCGTTTCTTTAAAATACAATTATCCACAAATGTATTGTTAATCTGTATTGTTTCAATCTGGGAGAGTTAATGTACCAATGCTTATATTGAACAAAATATGATTCTTTAGAAGGTCGTGTACTTGTTATTTGAAAGACTTCCCCAAAATTCATGTTTACATTATCTGATTAAGTTTTATTAATTTATACAGTACCCATTTGTTTTTGAGTAACACAAGGTGTATAATATATACCCTCTCTCCGTAATGGAATATTTACGATGCGGAGGCCATGTTATTATCACAGAATTATTCAATATTCTCGAAATCCAATTTCGAATCTCATTGCCACCTGATCCAGAGATAACTGTAACATCAGTGCTCACCAACGACCGTCGACCTCTACCCCACTAGACGACTCTGCAAATCTCGTAAAAAAAATAAATCTTAAATCATAATAGTAATAACCGACATCTGACGAACAAGGCTACCGATGCAGAGACCACGACACAGATCCACATCTGCCGGATCTCAAATGCCAGCGCATGCTTTCATTAAAATTCCTGAACGTCGGCCACGGAAAATCAATCAGTCTCCAATCGCTCTATAAAGCGAACTGTAAAAACTACATTGAAACCCAGACGGGCTCTCCCTGACTTCAAATGGACGTAATTGCGGGCGAGAAAAAGCGGCTCCAACGCCGCCCAGGCTCCGAACGCTGTCTCGGTCGCGGTGCGCGGCCCATGTGTGACTTTTATTATGAAATTTCTTGCGGGCACCCCAGTCCGCACGGGCAGGGTCCGTCGGGTGGGTCTGGTTTTGCCCCTGTAAGGCGGCCGGCCACGTGAACCCGCGAGCGCGCGACTCCTTTATGTGTGGGTTTGGACGATAAAACGTAAATTAATTACGTACTAACACAACATTATATTAATTATGGATTCGTAAGTGGTGCTCAGCAATAAATCATTTCCTTCCTGGTGGTGTTACGTAATGTGTTTCATATGTAACACTGTAAATATTATTTATTTTTACTAATTATGAGTAGAGTTTGGTACTTTTCTTCAAGTGTCATTTTGGGAAAGATTAAAACGATTATGAAGTGATTTAGTAAATAAACAATAAATCTCCGCATGTTGAAATAACAACACGGTATATTTTTAAATCGGGTTTCTCGACGTACATTGATTTACTATATTTGTGTCATGTGTGTAGATGAATTTTTTGCGGCCGGTATGACACGTGACTGAGTTGGTGAGCAACGGAAGTAGAACACGTGAAGACGAATCTTGCACATATTAATAACATAATTAACATACGTATATACTACATGCATATGTATAAAATTGAACCTAATTAATGTTTTTACAAAATACAATTAAGAATCACACGTTTACTTCAAGGTTTTAAATTATCATTCCCTGAACTTCCTGGTCACAGACCTCACCACTTGTAGCATCAAATATTATTATTATTATTATTATTATTATTATTATTATTATTATTATTATTATTATTATTATTAAAATAATAGCATACATACTACAGATGCAGTACTTTCGAGGGCAAGGAAACCTTTGCAATGTTTGGATACGATGTAGAACGGGATTAATGTGTGTGTGAATATATATTTCCTATGGTGTGAGTGATTTGAATATTACGCACACGTGTTTTCAACTCGTTTTGTTCCCAGAGATAACTTGATTTAAGCACGTCGCATTTTACTTGGTTTCATACTTGTTTTCGCTACATTACATTCCAAATGTCCTTTCATTGCAACAAACAAATCTGGGAGATTAGTTTAAGAGATTCCTCACAGAAAAACGCGCTAACACAAGTTGAAATACAGGATTTAACAAAATAACATTAGAATCTTTAGACAAAGTGATGGTGCGTAGATATAGTGTGCAAATAAGATGTAGGGTAAACATTATTGATCCTCAACAATTTCTGCAACCTGAAAACCGCTTATACCTCTGCGTCTGAGGTGTTATCATTTTGTTTTGATTTGAATATTTTATGGCAATTGCAACTAATATAAGAATAAATAAAATGAAAATTGAAACAAAGGCAGCATCTAATTTATGTGAAAATATATGATATAAACGAGTAATTTTATTTTTTCTCTTCGAAGATTTTACGTTATTTCTAACACCAGCGAAATTATTTAAATATTATTTTACAGAATTCACCAAGAAACGCAAAGTTTCGTACTGACAGATGAAAAATGCTAAACGTTAATCAAATAGCAACACAGTCAGTTTACATGTAGTTTTATCGTCGTAAGAACAAGCCTTGAACGGCAAAAACATACCAACATCTTTATCCAAACCAATTCAAATCCTCCTTTCATTATCATGCAAGAGCGACATCGCACGCAATCACCGTTGATGGCACTGCCACTAAAAGAAAAAGAGAGTCATTTGAACACTTGATTAATGTTAAGTCGTCAAACATTTTGCGCTTTGCGTCGCAGTTGAAGCCTTCAAACAGACCAGTGACCGGCTCTTCTATGTGTTACAGACCGCTGCTGGGGAAGCCACCATGGCAACTCGCTGGCCATTTCCATGCTGCCGTACGGCAACCGGCAGGCGTCCCCGGACAGAGAAGGTGAGTTACGATGGCGTCGGCGGCGGCGGCGTCGACGTCCGCCGCGGCGTCGCGCACACGCGCTGCTGCTTGCGTCCGCGCCGCCACTGGAACGAACGGAGCAACGGAAATTTATCTCAGATTTCTCTACGCGACGGTCTACCTTCGCCGTGCGTGTCCCTTCACAACCACCGCCGCCGCCGCCGTCGTCGTTTGACCTTTCCGCGCTGCAGTTTTATTTCTTTATCGAAGCGGCTCCGCTCATGGCTTTGGGCCGTTTAAACAAGTGGCTCTCAATGTGGGATGCAGGTGCCCCATGGTTCGGTAAAAAGCACCAGATGCGCAGTGTTAAAGTTGTTTGCTAAGACGATGCTTGTATCAATTTTCGTGTTGACAGATTTATGGACGGAATAAAATTGTTTCGATTTTACAAAAGACGTTCAAGTACTTAACAAATGACCATTATAATGTACTTTATGATCGATTCTTTCGATATGCTTACTCGGCATCATGTAAGTATTCACAAAAGGTTTGGGTTTATAATAACGCAGGAAAGATATATCATTCTGGGGTTAACAATGTACTTGCTTGAAATACGTATTGACTTTATTTGAACAAAATTTATTAAAGAACACTATTGTATAGGTGTCAGATAAAAAGAAAAATAATTGAGAATCATTGGTTTAAATGTTCGCCCAATTTACAAACCAGTAGCACAGAATTCTCAACTTGCATTTGCCAGATCGGATACAAAGTAAAGACCGTTCGGCAACGCAAGTCGTGTACAAAGCAGGTCCGAAAATATTAGCAAGTGATTCAGGAAAAAAACTACGAGTATTAAACTCATGAAATAGAACGTTAACCAGAATAATAGGGGAGTTAAAATTGTATATATTATCTTCAAAATTCAGTATCGTTTCGAATGGTAGCTATTATACGTCGAGTATGCCGAGCCATATTTTGCTCTGTCAATGCCACTGGAAAGGAAATGTCGAAATTAAAGCGTAGCGCGGATTCATGCCTGGCATATCTCGCGAACTGAAAATTTAACCTCACGTGCAGTGCACATTACTTAACAGTCATTATACTCCTGCAAAAACAGTAATACACATTTAGAGCTCCACCAAATCAGAGCCTGTTGGTGTCACAGAGGGAGCAAGAAATTTCCGACAATTACAAGCAGCACTGTTAGTTAGAAGATAGTAACCAAAGCTCTAGTTTCTGAAATAGCATTGTTAATCTGCTTTCTCAAGTCTATCTTCCTCGGTTCATTACACATCATCATTCAATAATAATTGTAAAAGTAAAGCCATGATACTTATTGCGAAATTATTAATATAAATTTTTGTTCCTGTCATTTAATCAGAGCACGAATGAAGCACTGAATAAAGAGTCTAAATTACTCAACAGTTCAAAAATTATTGACAAATCAGAGAATTGAGTGCCTTTAGAGATTTTTTCACTGCTGAGGTTTCACAATATTTGAGCATATGTTTGGTTTTTATTTTTCCGTTTATATTCCTTGCTGAAATGCCTTTTTTTGCGGGGACGTGATAATAGCTATTTACTCTCGTCATATTATAGCGAGTACTTCAGAAAAGCTTAACTAATAATTACTCATACATTCAATAAATATACACATATTCTATGAGCAAAATGTATTAAAGGGACAACATTAAAAATGTTCAAGTGCGCTGCTATGAAATGTGCTTCCAATGAAGTAGTCCAATACGAAAACGTTCGGGCAATATTAAGCATTTAGGTAATTATTCTCTCAAATTTACGCTACCACCACAATATAAACGAAGAAAACTGCCATACTTGAAGTATTCTCCTATTGGAGGAGCGGTTCCAACTCCACCTCTCAATATAACAAATATGACACTGTTCGGTCCCGGTCAAGAAAGACTAACAATTGGTAATGGCTGGTGTTCTAAGGACCCGAATCCGGAACCTCGTGCTTTTTTTATTTGAGCCACAGACCTTAACAAAGTGGTCATTCAACTTTGGGCGTGCACACAAGCATGAAAGTGTTCTTGTTCTAAGGAATGCACTCTGTGCTACCTCACATACGCGTAATTGCTTGTGAGCTGAGAACATTTTTAATACTTTAATGTAGTGACTTCGGAAAACGAGAAAAGCTTCCGAAAAAAGGTAAATATATTCGGTCGTCTGTGTACGTAGTTCTTTCATTACAAAACACAGTTAAGGAGTATTTATTTCCTTACTAAATCTATTTGTATTTTAAAATGAAGAATAGTGTTAAAAAGAGACATGAACGAGTGTGATATGATGTTCACGTCAACGTGCTTTTCGTGAACAACTATGGCAGTAGGGACTGCAATCCTTAATCCTAAGGCTGTGAAGAGGGAAGCAAACTTTCCTTAGACAGTGAATTTGGCTGGAAATTGTCTCATGATGACAAAAAAGTTAGCAATGTAAACCGCGGGTCTCAAGTTAAGCTTACTTCCCATTTGAACATTTAGTCAAAAATCTTCCCTTTACTTGAACATCAATTTCCTAGTTATATTTCTGTAATTGAATTGAAAGATTAGGTGTAAATAATTTTGAAACTCTTTGTTGTCTCACCCTTGTATTCCCCTTGTTTTTGTAGTCTCACCCTTTTACCCCCTTTAGGAATTCGCAGTTTAAGTTCTCAGATCGGGAGTTAAAACTGTGAGTTTCAATTGCAGGTTTTTCTTCAATCGAAAGACCTGGAATGAGTAGGACAGGCCCGCGCACATTTTGGTCAAGGCTGTAAATTTGGAAACGTTTGCCTTACCGATAGATACAAACGTCTAATGAAATACTATAAAATTTGTCGCAACTGACATTTTCTTGTTCACACTTACTGTACACACAACATGCATATGAATATGCACCCCGAATTTATTATAATTGCTCATTTTCGAAACAAAACAAAGCTTTGGTTGACTGATTATTTTGTCGCCGACGTCGCATAAATGTCTGAAGTGCTGTGCACGTTATGTCTCTGGCGTTTGCATTGACCCCCCTCTCCAGTAGAAAGTGAGATTTCGCACCGATCACGTAATCTTGCGAGGATTTTCCACTCCTCGCATCTCCGCCAGTGTAGCACTGCCCCAACTGGTCTCCCGTCATATGTGACAATTAAGTGTTTGTGTGTGCAAGGGGGTGGAGGGGACAGGGACTATGAAAGGAAGATCTTACTCTTACCTTGTCCACTTGTTAGGATGCTGCCCCGTCATTCGCCTGGAATTGCTCAGAGAAACCATAGTAAACTACAGGTCAGAGCAGCCGGCCGCTAGAATTGAATTGAATTGAATTGAATTGAATTTGCCTTATTTTACGTGGCGAGACTCGGGCCAACAGGCCCACTCTTCCGTCTGACCACACAATTTCGCTACGCTCCTTTCACCAACTAGGAGAGAAAGGAGATTTTTTTGGGCGAGAAGCAGGCGATTTTGAATTTAGCTCAGAGGCGTCATTTAGGCTTGAGGATCTTTTACATGCAAGTAAATCTACGAACATGGGACAGCCGGCTTTACTTCCCCTCCGAAGGAAGGCGTACGAAGGATTTTTATCCATCGTACGGTTCGATCGGGTTTGAACCCGCCAACTTGGGTACAACAGTCCAATACGCTAACCGTTACACCATCGCCGCCGCCGCCAGAATTTACCCCCGACAGCAGCTGAACTCGACCTATCTGCATTTTTAGTGTCGGATATCCACCACCGTTGGGACTCGAACCCATAGACCTCCAGGTCTGAGGCATTGCAGTGTCATGAGCTGCTACCCTGAGTCACCTCAGACGGTTTTAGCCGGTAGTAAGCTTTGGTGCTCCGCCTTGTTCCTTACAAACATCTGTCTCCTAGCTACGGGGCGCCGGATCTTCCCGCATCCGGAGTCCCTGGGCACTGAGGCAGCTCAGCCCTGGACGGAGGTTTGTCGAGGTTGCGTTGTTCCCGTAGGCGGAAGCAGGTTCCCTACCTCGTTAAAAAGCTTCCCTTCGTAAAAGAAAGGACGAAAGTAACATCATTAGATGGAGCTGGCGTCTGCAAAGGTCATCCCCTGACGCACGCGTACTGTACGAAAATTGCATTAGAAGGTGGATATGCTCAAACGTGAAAATATATGGACCTGGAATATTTATTTACATATTTGGTACATTAAAAAAAATTAAGGTCGCATTTTCACTGCTCTGGACATATCGTAACCAATGTATCTTTTTAAACATTGGTTTACACCTTTCGTGGTAACGGTAAGGGGAACACACAAAAAGGACAACATGAACACAAACATCAACGCCTGGGGCGGGATTCGAACCTCCAACCCCTCGAGCCAAGGTTGGTCTTCAGTTTTATCGACCTCGTCTATCCAAAGTAGCTAGTACTATTTATAAATTATGTATTTACACTAATTTATATATTTCTTTGTGTCTGATGCAGTAAGTTTTTAGAACATTAAAGAATCAATCTGAAAAAAGTAGATGTGTACAGTGTTTCAAAGTGCAAATGGAAGTAGTAAAGGAGTTTCCACCACAAAAGACTTACTATCTAGGCATCGCCCACCTGTTACTGTCAGGTCGTTTGCACCTTCGTCGATGAGTAGACCCGGACTTCAGTGAAGAGTTGGTTCTTGCTGTCATTCTGAGTAGAGTGGACGATAGTGTATCGATTAAAAGACTGTTCTAGGTTTTTGTGTTTCTAGCTTCTTCCGAACGCTATAGTAAACGAGTTGGCATAACCCATTTCTAAATACTCGTCCACCATTAATATTGATGAATAGGAACGGAATAACATTTATTTTTAGAATACAAGTAACAAATGAATTAACTCAGTAAAATGGCAGATTCCTGCGGTCACTAAAGGTTCCATTTCGTTGTCGCATCTCATGACATCCATCGGTGCCAACAAAATTGACATACAAAAAATCGTCATTTTTTAGGTAAATAAAGAAACATGTTTAAAAATTAGTAGATTTTTAATAGTGTGATGGAGATGTGACACTGAAACAAATGGTCTCTGGTCGAAAAATAAATATTTTGCGCAGAATAAAACCGTTCTTCTGCAAAATGACAATACATTAGATACGTCACTTCCCCTTGGACTCCGGCGACATGTAACATGCATGATTCTTGTGCCCACTAACAATCGATCTAAAAGCAACAACTCGAAAAATACTTCTAAACATTATACTTAATCAGAGAATGTTAAGTATAATACAAGAAGAATACAGCATACTACATCTACATAACACAGAAAAAAATTTAATCAAAATTAAGCTTGGACATGACACTACCGATCATGGGGTATAAGGTCTGAAACAGCCTGAAAACTGAAACTATCATTGATAAGCCTTCGAGAGTATTTCATTTTAATTAATTATACAATAAAAAAGAGAAAAAGAATCCTTAAAGAATTAGGAAAACTTTTATGTCCCTCTCCGTCTTCCTCCTGCTGTAGACTACAGCCTAGAATATATATGAAGCACTAGGATGTAAATAATGGAAACTGACATTTTTAGTAAAATAGAGATAATTGCCTGGTACGAAGGAGAAGGAGTAGCGCATTCTGTATTAAAAGTGGCTATCACAGTTCACACTTCCATAATGCCACGTGTTATTTGTTTCGTGAAAGCAGCGGCACAAAAGTCATTTTAAGACGAATCGTGAAAATGCCCACCATATCCACCCGAAACCCTCACGCAGAAGACTCAGGCTCACCCACTAACATGCCCTCGCGAATATTTCAAAGAGTACTAATATAAAAAAAGAGGAAATACCTAAAGAAAAAAAAACTGCAACTCGGTTTCGTGTCCGACGCGCTCGCTCGTCCCCGAACGCCGGATCGCCCCGCCCGCGGAGGTTCCCAGCCACGCCCCATCCCGGGGCCCATCCCGCCCCGCGCGCGCTTCTGCCGAGGCTACGCCTTCAGCCGTCGAGGAAGAGGAACGTCTTTTGTGAAAGAAAGGACGAAGGCGGTAGCGGCGGGCCGGGCGGCGTCGGCGTCGGCGTCGGCGTGCCACGGCGCCTGGCGTCGGTCGGGGTGTTTCCGGGCGGCGCGGGGCCGCGCTCGGAGGCCGCGCGGCGCCGCGGCGTGTGAAGATGCTATCGCTTCCCCGCGGTTCAAGGACGCGCCGCGCTGCCGACGCCGACCGCCGCGACGGAGCGTATTGTGTACTTAGCGCCGGTGTACACGCGGCCCGTTGCGTCGGCGACGGCGTCTCAAACGGCCTCGGCCGTCGCGACGTCCACACGCGGAAGAAGAGACGGTTTGCCGGCTCTTTTGGCCACTGGACATTGCGAAGAGTCGTCCAAATTTGTCCATTTAATTTAATAATAATAATTAATAATCAATAATTAAATAAATAAATAATTAATAAATTAATAAATAATTAATTTAATAAATAAATTAAATAAATTAATAATTAATAATTTAATTATTAAATAATAAATTTTTTTAAAAAATAAAATTTTAAATTAAAAGAATTAATTTTTTTAAAAAAAAAAAAATTTTTTAAAGAAAAAAAATTAAAATTTTTTTTTAAATTAAAAAAAATTAAAAAAATAAAAAATAAATTTTTTAATAATAATAATAATAATAATAATAAAAATAATAGTAATAAAAAATATTAAGTTAGTATCACTGACCACTAAAATGGATCGGTGATCGCTGGATCTTCAACTTGAAGAAATCACGCAAAAGTTTGCGGGAGACAGAGAGCGCTTTAGACCCGAAATCAATTTAGGAAATTGACCTAGAAGTGCCCAAAATAAACAGTGGAAAATGTTAATCCAAAGGAACAAAAGCTCTTGAAAAAAGAAAATTTCATCAGAAAGAAGGAAAAAAAAAACGACTGATAGCTTTGCTTAGGTTCAGTTGGAAATGTATTTGTGAAATCAAAAAAGAAACGGAAGAAGAACAATAAGAATAAATATTAATTCTATCCAATAATGTTGTCGTTTTGAATATTATCAAATCAAAATTATCTCATATCACTACAAATGCTTCCACTTGTTTATTTCACGTAACATTCAAAAATTTAACAAACATATACAAGCAATGATACAAACTAAAGAGATTACCAATATTGTCTTTCGAAAATTACAGCGCAAGTTTCCATTGAAAATTGTGTTTTGAGTTTTGAATATGTCGTCATGCTTATCACAGTTTGGTTCATTTGTTCGTTGAATTCTGAAGATTCTTCGTTCCATCAGTAAATAGTTTTAAAATATACTTGCAAAAATATATAAATAATAAATGGTTTTGTCGTCGGCCGACATACATAACTTTTTTCGCTAATCGTGATATTGTTATGGTTAAGAGAATCTGGAAACTAGGATTTAATGTCACACCTCATAAAACAGTCATTACGGAAACAGTCTTTTTTGAAGTCCAGATGAATTCTGAAAGATTTCCATAAACAGACAAGACATACAATGTTTATGACAAAATGAAAAGAACGCAACGATTGACAACTATCAAGAAATTTTTATAGGAATTCGCGTTAATAAAGTCTGCGCATAGGTGGAAGTAACGTTAGTTCTTCAAAAGTGTTTCGGGCGTTATCAAGTCTATCTCTTCTTGCCTGTTTCCATCGTTAGTTGAAGAAACATCCGACTCTTTTCCCACGCACATTGATTTGCTGTTTTGTAATACAGGTCTTCAGTACAAGGTACCTAGGTTTCCTGCTGAGACATCTTGTTCTGGAAGGATTTGCAGTAAATTTTTTGCTTAATTTTTAATCACTTCTTCCTAATTTATGGATAATAGTATATTTTGAAAGCTGATTTTGCTGTCTGTTAAAGAGGTTCACCCGAGTGTCGAAATGCTGTACCTGACGTACACGTTAGAGACTGTATTTCACAATCGGATGTTTTTAAAGTCACAGTACATCGTGCTCAACGTTTGCCTTTTCATGTCGTGTTAAAGGAACTTGCAATGGCACTACCTAAATTGTTACAAGCTAAGGTGAATGGTAGAAATATCGATCTTAGAACTTAGAAGTTTAAGATATATTATGTTGGCAACGAAGTGTCGAGTGTATTTCCTGTCTCTTTCTTACTGACCTTGGCTCCTTTCTAAGAAATTTCTTGCAACGTGACTAATTAGCCTGCAGTGAAAAATCCTGTCGGAGTAGTGCACTTAAGTACGAGTAGATGTGAGGTGTAGCATTCTTTTGCGAATTGTTCTATATACAAATTGTTCAGAAAATAATAATATACCTTCAGTCTAAACATCTCAATTTACCTTTAAAAACAGTTTTTTTAGTTTGACAAGTAATTTTAAGTGGCATATCTGTCATCATGTAAGTGAATTAATTTCAAAACGAGGAAAGTTTTGAGAAACTGTTACATCGAAAGTGAAACTGTAAGGATCTTCTGAAACTGTACCAGAGCACTTTAGAGTGGTGTGAAGGTTATGACTTCTCTAAACAAAATACGAAGGACAGTGTCCCCTTCAGATGTTGGATTTTTTAATTTCATCAGGCGATAATATTAACACTTTTTAAATCAGATACCAGAATAGAAATTTAAAATATTTTTTTCAAGACAACAGCTTGCGTTCTTAGAATTTCGTTGACAATTAAGAAGCATGTTATCTTATGTTCCTAAACAGAGTAACTGAGGTGACATAAATATGTGTATTTCATTTAAATACGAAAAATAAAATTTTAAATCACCGACCTAATTGGCCGAGATGGCTAAGAGTGCTAACTTCGCGCTTCACTCCGAAGTGCTAAATGTTCGAATCCCGCTTTCGGCATGGTTGGTTGTCCGTGTGTGTGTATCTCGTGTATGTGTTGTCGCGGAAGGCCTCGCGTTCTGCTGACCCCAGATCAAAGAAACCCGCTGGTGTGTTTGTGTCGAGTGTATGGCCGAATATGCGTCCCATCTGGATGTAAAGGGTAACCAGCGCGGGTATATATATATATATATATATATATAATATTTAAATACATGTTTGTGTGATGATATTTTTTTCGCATTAATGATGAAATAAGTAAGAAGATGAAGTACCTCCTGCTTGACTATTATCGCATTATAAGTCAGTTCTTTTTATTAAGTGTGCAGTTTAGATTTTTGGGAGAAAATTATATTTGAAATTACGCACTACTTTTGCTGTTATTCCTCAAAATTACTCAAGATCGCGTAGATATGTTGAGAACACAGAAGACGAGCAGGACAGAGAAGTTCTCACAAAAATGACCCAAGAAAACGAGTTCCTCGCAAAATCCAACAGGAGGATGAGAACATCGGTCGTCCTTTAAGACTTATACCACTATCAGGATAAGTAATATTGCGAATGGTTGAGTCTGATACTACCAGCAGTGACGATGTAAACTCGTTAATAGAGATAACAAATCTGGTTGCTTCTTGGCTGGCATACGTTTTACTAATATTCGTTTCGACTTGTCCGATTAATTATGGAGAAGCAAATAGCAGTACAGTGTCGCAAACATTATTAAATTGATTTTGATATTGAAAATTAAATTATTGGCACGTTATTCAGTTCTGAATTCGCTTATCTTATTTATACCGTACTTCGTCACCGAAAACAATCTCGCAGGAATAAAGAGACATTGCTGTAAACTGATTTGTGTGAGTGTAATGCAGTTTTAGTGCAGTAATGTAGATTGTTTATTTGCTTGGTTTTCTCAGGGTTCTTTTACAGTGCAGAGGATGTTGAAAGTTCATGGAATCTAAGTAGAAAATTGTTGTTATATTCTTGCAACACAACAACTTTTTTTCGACTGTTCTACTTTCTAGCTTGAAGAGATAACTTTGATTGCATGAGTTTGCTTCAATCGGTGAGTTCCGAAAGCACTTCTACAAAATGACTAATAGAGCGAGTCGAAATGCGTGACATTTGTAGATTCAAAACGGAATACGACATGGTTTCTGTTCTTTTACTGAAAGGCATGAAATTCTCTTCGTCATATACTTATAACATATTTCAATGAGAAAGTGTTTCCCTTGGGTAAAAATGAGTCAATTAAAGTATTAAAACATTGCAAGTCATTAACTGAAACGTCGTATTTGATGTATAAAGACCGTCTAAAATTCATGAACATTACATTTTGGTAAATACTGTTTAGAAAGTCTGTTCGTCGACTTGTCATTGATTGATTGTATAACACTTTTCACATTTTATCACTCGCATTTTACGGACTGGAATAATATATCCCACGATGATCAAGAGTACATGAAGTATTACTCTTTTTACACACTTCGTTAATTGAAATCTGATGTGATTAAAAATATCTTACGAGGGTGAGAATTATACGATGTTATTTTTTAGAAGCATAGTAGATTAACTCGTTTGGCCCACCACAATATTTTATGCTCTCGCCCCTCTATCAGTGCTGACGAAGCGGCACGGGGTGTCCGTAGGCGGACTTCCGATCATCCCGAGGTCCGAGCATGTGACACGGCGGCGGTCGAGGGGCGGGTATGGAGATATCGACTGTCGCCGGCGCCCCTGCATAATTGACGCCTTGCCCGACACACGGCGGCCCGAGCGGGTC